CATCCAGTTTGGAGGGGCAGCCTGATCTAGGCAAAGTCTGGGTGGTGCCATATGCCTTCCACTTCTTAATGATGGTCTTGACTGTGCTCCATGGGATACTTAAGCCTTTGAAATCTTTTTATCCCCATCTCCTGACTTATGCCTTTCCACAACTTTATCTCAAAATTCTTTTGAAAGCACCTTTCCGCCCATAATGGATTCTTTGCTTTGACATGCGCTTCTAAGCAGTGGAATCCTCTAGAAACAGCTGCTTTTATTCTGAACTAATCAAAATCACCACAATTGATCACAGGTGGGAGCCAATTAGTTTGTTGTGTGATCTGTAAGGTGATTGGTTATACCTGAGCAAGTTTACAAATGCAATTGTAAGGTGGGTGTTCACTTATCCAGCTAAAGTATTTTACTGCTGTAATATTAATTAATACTTAGAATGCTTTAGAATTGTATTTTCATTTGGCTAATGTGGGTTTCTGTGTGCAAATAAAAAAGGAACAAGCCTAATTTAATTTGTTTTTATTTTCAGAGTGTCATACAACAAAAGGTACAACTTTTAAAAAGGGAGGGGTGACTTTCTATACCCACTGTATATATGTGCTTTGTCAATCTTGGAAGATGAAGTGCACATTGGCAAAAACACTTTCACAACTCATCTAAATTAGGTAAGATGAAAGACAGGTTTTCTGAACAGAAAGCACTTATGAAAAAAAAACATAAAACAAAAAATCATTTAAAAATATTTTTTCCAATATCTTACATCTAAACATTTATATTATATTCCCAATACTATATTTCTGGCCTATAAATGACTATAATTCTAAAGATGTCTTTTAAAAAACTCACTGATTCAAAGTATATACTATACCTCACCCCAAGAATACATGCAAGTGATCTGTGTGTTATTTGATGCTCCTTCAGCATTTGGCTTTTATTTTCTCCACATTAAGAACTGCTGGTGCAAGACTTTTTACTACAGATGTCAGTCAAGTCTCAATGATTCCCAGTTCTACTACTATGTTCTGAAAACAAGTGCTCGGAAGTTATAGTTTGTCTTGCTCTTGAATAATATTCAATTTCTGCTCACCTCCTCCTGGGGGTGTGGTTTCTCAGCAGTCCAAACCTGCAACATCGGCACATGCGTCTTCTGTCGTCTCCTGAAATAAAATCACAGCTTCTATTGTACCAAGCACAGGTATGGTAGCTCTGCTCTAAATGAAGAGGAATTAAATCTGTCCTGTAAGTTACAAATTTGATTCTAAACTCTTTGTACCCTACTTTAAAAAAGGTCCTGTAGAACTCTTCCATTTTAATGATGCATTGCTAGAATAGGGAGATTGGTTCCCATTCACTT